CGAATGTCTTTAATTGCACCACTGTTCTTCCTTTTATTGTAGTTTTGAGCTGCGTGCGCCAACCGCACGCGTTTAGCGTACATTCACGTCGCCTATGACGTTTTGTTCCTGACATTTGCATACACATCACCTTTCTACTGAATTGCGTATTCATTGTACTGATCGCAATAAACCCTTTTCTGCAATTTCATGACTATCGGCTTAAAATTTACATTGTTGCTTAAGTTTTGCACACCAATGTATATATAACCGTAAATTGTTTTTGCTATTCAAGCCTACCATCTGCGATTTCTCTGTCGATTCTCATAAATACAATAGAAAACTTCAAGATATAGTTTATAATTATTTCTCATTTATTATATTATTTTCCGTAAAACTACAATTTAGTTACATTTGATTTCTTTTCAAATGCCATTTTAATGCTAGAGTGAGTATCATGAGTTTATTAACATAACAAAACAAAAGTTTTGAATCAAACCGTATGATTGCTTGAATACCAAAGTTCTTCAACATAAAAATTAGGTTTTCCGTTGTTTTAAAATTTTTCACCTAAATATTTTCTCCTATATTCTTGTTTTTACCATCCCTATTTGTGCGAATGATAATGTATAAAAAAGTTGCAAAAGCTCTTTTATCATTCTAATGTATTTCCTTAATCAGGTAGTACAACTTTTCTTTCTTTTCTCCGTGGACTCTTTATTCGTCATTTTTTTGTTTTGCTTTTCAGATCTGCTTTGAAGGGTCATTTCAGCACAACCTGTTTAATAAACAACAGCATCTTCAATGACCGTCCCACAATATGTCCGGAACTGTTTTCAGAAAAGCAATCATTTCAGATCAGTCGACGCCTTGTGTCTAATCTCACGAATTAGCTTTGTAGTGGGAATGCTTCTGTGTTTTGGAATCAGTTTAAATTTTTCTTCTTCCTATTTTGTTCCATTTTCATGATTTTTAAGTGTACTACTTTATAAGAAAGTTTAAAACAATTTTATCCAGAATCGTTTTGAGTCAAAGAAAGAATTTCATACAAACAATTAATTTTATAGTGAATTTAGTGGCTTCATTCTTCAAAATATCTCTCAAACAATAAATAGCATTCTGTATTTTATTTAGGCTATGCAGAATTTTTTTTTTTCGTCGCTAAAGTTAAAGCAGTTTTGAAATAATTGGATTCTCGTGTTAGATTCTGTGTGTGATGTTGCTTCTAGAAATGTGTTTTCTGGGAAAAGAAAACAATTTTTTCAAACAAACGATCTGGGAAGAAAACCTGTTAAACAATTTTCAAGTAGAGAACGTCTTTAATTATATAAACACAAAATATGCTTTTCGATGCATCTCAGTGGGAAAAACTGTGACATATTTTATATTTTTACAATAGTTTTCAAAGTAAAAAATTAAAAAAAAAGGCTTTTAACTTTTTAAAAATATTTATGTCATTTATCAGACAACTGATTCGGAATAAAGTTGTAAGAGTTCTGAACTTATATATGTAAATCTTTCCTTTATTCTGACTTCTATACAAAAAATAAGGTGATATCATACAGTTTTAGCATATAAGAAAAAAGTACGTCTTTGTGAGCAAGATTTTTTTCAATTAAGACTTAAAATTAACTATTTTTATAATCAATATAAATAGAATTGACAATGGCATAACAGAGAATATTATCCCCCCCCCACACACACAAAGTCAGGTTTTGCCTTTAATATTTTATAAATTGGCTAAATACGTCAGTCAGGCTTTGGGCCTCCTAGAATCCTGCCGGGGGTGTACGTTACGCCACTGAGAATTAATCAATTAAAATAAAGTATGATCAGTTTTCTTAAATTTTAAAATTCATTGATTAAATTTAGAAAGTTATTTCGATTTCCTATCTCAAAAAAAAATGACTGTTAAAATTTAGCCTCAATTTTAATGAAAAAAAATGTTGCTAAATTAAGTAATAATTATCAAATGAATAAATACAAAAATCAAAACAAATCAATTGGTGAAACAAGGTACTGAAGACAAAAATTCTCTATATCATTAAAAGTGTCTATATTCTATATATCCTATATTAAATTTAGTATGAAAGCAAAACAATATGTAACGCGTACATTTCTATACCCAACATTTCTGGTTTTAATTACTAGGATCGATGAACTAAGCTTTTTTTGAGCGATTAATCTGTAACTAAAGATTACAGAGTGACTAGATATTTAATCTTGTAGATTAAAAAAAAAAGAAACTAGCTTTTTCGAAAATACAATTATATGATTTTTTTCATATACTGGTGATGATTAACCCCTTCAAGGTTCATTTTATTTCTGGATTATGGATCAAAATATATCAATTTTTTATGCTTGTTTTCAAGATTACATATCTGTTTAATAATAATAGCACCATTCGCATACAAAATTTCCTAAAAATTAATGTAAAAAAAATCTATTCAAAAAAATGAGTAATTTACCTGTAAAGTTGGCTTTTGTATGGTACAAATCATTAGTAGAGTCAATACTCACTAATTATAAATATAGAGCTTATAATATATAGCTTTTATCTTGAATTACAAATTTTATTTATATCTTTTGCATTTACATAAATGATTATGAAATTATTAATCAACAATTGATCGTGTATGATAAATTCAAAAACTCGGTACTGCCCACAACCCAACATCGCAATTTGGACAGTAGAACCTTGTTTCTGATCTTGTTAACTTTACTGCTTTTCTTAGAGCAGCAAATAATAAACTGTCGTGTGTTGGATAAGTTTTCATCTCTGTTGTCGGAATGAAGTCAACAAATTGTCTTTCAGACAAGCGTGAAGGGGGAAGCTCAGCAGAAGGACGTCCTCTTTTTGCAGAAAATTCCACCGAGTGGTACTTTTCTCTTATTCGAGAGACCATAAAAAGCACATATAAAATAACTCGATTACACAATGTAAATTTTCATAGAGCCCCACTCGGGATGAGCCAGGACGGTACGTCTCGCCTGCCTAAGCTCAGCTCAGAAGAAACCGTTAAGAGGTTAAAGTGAATTATATTTTGAGAACCAGTTTGTCGTTTTATGTTCGATTTTCCCCATAAATTTGATGATTTCAAACAGTATATATTGTCCGTATAATTGTGTCGCATAATAATTTATTTTGTGTGTAGTTTTTTCTTACATTCAAGCTATCAATTTCACAATCTATGTACTCCATCTAAATAACTTTTTCAATAAATTGCAAACGAAATTTTTATACAGTTTTTCAAAATTTATTTTTAAGTTCGAAATTAAATTAGCATCTCAAACATTAAAAAAAACTGGTACTAAAATATTTCATTCAATACTGATCTAAAAACCTCGAAGTTAAATATTCAAAACCTTTCTTATTGACTAAAAGTTTGTTTTTTCTAGATTTTAATAGGACAGATATTTAATACTTTAGATATTTTTTTATCGTTATTATTATTTTCGTCATATTTTTATCTTTTTTTTCTTCAGTTTTAGTAATCATTATCTTTATGTGGTATTTTATTATGATAAGCCGAAAACATTTGATATACCGGTATTATAATACCTTTAATGTATAATAGCATTAATAAATATTTAGAAATATGTATGAATAAGTTATGTGTTTAAAGAAATACCAATAGATGATTCTTATGATGCATCATTATACAAGATTCAAAAAGTGATATAGAAAGAAAGAACTCAAATTATGAAAATAAAATTAGAACATGTGTTCCTCATCTTAAAGTTGTTTTCTGTAATGATTAAAAATAACAAATGCTGTGGTTTTCATTCAATAAATTTTATAGAACTGTTCCTCTTTTTCTAATGGAAAAAAATGTAGTTACAATGTTATGTATATATAAACGTTTAAATCCAATACATATATCTGTGTGCGTGTGTATATATATATATATATATATATATATATTACAACATTTGGTTATTTTTTCAATACTTTCTCTGCTGTTTGAAAGGTTTTAATATTTCTTAGTATTAAGTATCTTTAGTTGTATTTTGTACTGAGGTACGTGTGGATTGAATATATTGTTATTTCACTGTATTTTTGTCATATTTATATTATCCCAGACTTTTCATATGTCTACTTATATTTTGGCGAGTTTTTATGGGTTTTCAAATCCATTTTCATCCATTATTTGTTTTGCAGGATTTACAATTTGCTTATACTTACTTTATTTTATTATATTATATATATATATACATGAACGAAGGAATTGAGAGTTCAAGCTGCCCTTACATTTTTACTTATTTACCAAAAAGTCTTCCTTGAAATTCTTCTCTTGCTTTTGTCATTGCTTTAAAAGTTCACAAATGATATTTCCAATAATCGATATCTTTTAAGTATATATTGTTTTATTTAGATGTTTTACTAACGCATTTGATACCGAAACTATTTTTGAAAAACATGGCAATTCAGCTCTAGATCTCATAGAAATATCATAACCATATGTTATTTATTATTTAACAATTTTGAAAACCAATTAGTTTATTTCTTAAAGTTGTTGTTTCTTAAGAGGCCCAGTTATTGAACAATAATTTATGCATATTCGATCGTATTCAAATATCTGATCAAGTTAAAGAATTACTTACAATACCTACAATAGGTTTAACGCTTCAAGGCTAATGAAATAAATTCTAGTATCAACACAAAAAGTAGATTTTAATAAATCTACATCTTGTCTGAAATTAATCACAAATAATTTGCTAATAAAAACAAGAAATATACAAAAAAATTTAAGTTAATTTGTACTCAAGTCAACAAAGAAAATTTTTATTTTAGTTAAGTTTTATTAAATAATTACAATTAATATAAATATGTTTATACATATGACAGAATCACAATATCAAGTGGCGAAATAGAAAGCGATTTTTCTTACAATTTTCCATTTTCCTTTCAATATAGGGTGTTGGACTATTTTTTTTTGTTACTATTTATTCATCCGTTAAATTTAATTATTTTTATAAAATAGTATAGTAAAAAGAAATCATATTCTCAGAAATTAGGCCATCCCAGGTGAGATTCGAGCCCACGGCCTTTGGATTAGAAGTCCAACCCAATACCCATTACGCTACAGGGACACAACGAGTGATTTTCCTTTTTATATAGGGTGTTCGACTATTATTTTTGTTTGTTACTAATTATTCATTAATTAATGAATTAATACTTGAAAAAAACTGTATTAACATCAAGTGTCCTGAACTACAAGTTTTAAAAAATGTATTTGAACTTGAGAGGATGAATAAAAAGTATTTTATCAACGATTGAAAAGTTGAACAAGATATATATATACATAAATAAATATAGGATAGTGTGAACTAATGGTAGTAATTGTATGATTGCTTTATGCTGGATATCAAGAATGACGCAAAAAACTATTAAACAAATTAACGGCAAAGCAAATGACAACAGAAAGTACCTAGGAGGTCAGTAACCTCTGAGGTAGGAGCTTAGAGCCTTTTCCTCTCAGTGTATATGCTAATTGATCGAAAACATACATGACAATCAGAGGTGTATATGTGAGCATCAAAGTTCAAAACCTACTTCTTTTTGTTTATTTTTTGTCCCTTACATAGCACATTCAGCGTTAAATTTGGCATTACGTTAAACCACGTTGCTTATCTCTTCTCCAAATGACCGACGCCTTTTGACATCGAATTCCGGAATAAGCATTCATTTAGGTATCGGGGAGGGGAATAATCACTCCAAGACCTGTTTTGATTGATGCAATCTCTCTCTCAGCTGTTAGGTCTTAGAAGAAAATCCTTGCAACCAGTTCACAAGGAGGGATGGGACGATGGACGACCTTGCAAAGCACGCACGCTCCCTTGGGGAAGATTGCCTAATGGAGGCCAAACAACTTCTATTCAACTCATTATCTAAAATAACGGAACAGATTCGTCAGAGTTAGTCAACTGGGCATCACCAACCGTACTGGGTGCAAGAGTCGTTAGTTGTGGAATCGGTTTGTAGCAAGGTCAAGAAATGGCATGAAACTGATCGTATGCTAAAGCAGCTGCTGACCTTTACAACCGGGAAGAGACGGTGTAACATTTACACGATTCGTGTTTCATTTATCTAAGTAGACAACGATAACTTATTTTAGATGTGTTTTTCAGCCAGAGAAGTTATAATTAGTTCTGTCTGTTAAGATATTTCTTTTGGAAAATAAATAAAGTTAGAAAAAATCAATGGAAGACTGAAAAAAGAAATGTACTTGAAAAAGTTCATGTGAATATCTGAAGTTGCTAACATAAAAAAACAGCCGTGTTGTTTAACCAAAGAAGAGTGTTGATTTTAGCTTCATGATTTGAAGAGTTTTGGTGAGATAAAAATGAATTTTTGTGAAGAAAAGGTGACACAATCGGAATCTTGTCCCTGTATAACTACATAGCATCGAAAAGAATAATTGGGTTTGTGAGGTTCAGAATAGTGTGTGCCAATGGATGTTACACTTTATTAATGAAGAGATCAAATAGATATTTTTGCCAATTTGCAAAAATTAGTGAACGGTTAGAATCCTTCACTAATGGAAATTTTGTCTAAATGGAAAAATACTGGAAAGAGGATTTATTCATCAAGGATCGATACAGTAATTTTTTTCTATATTTCAAATAACTCAATTAATTTCATTACAGATTTATAAGTTTTATTATTGTTTAATTTATTGACTTGCTGCTAAATATTTCATCAGATATCTGTCTAATGTTACAACATTCATTTTTCCGAAGCTGGCATAACTTCGTTAAAGTATTAAATATTTATTCATTCTGTAATTTAATATTTACTTATCTGTTCTTAAAAATGTCAAAACTAAATGTTGCATCTTTGAAACAATTTGTTTTATAAATCAATATTACAAATAAATATTTCCTTCTAATGGAACTGTGTATAACAATCAATTCATTTTGAAAGTGTAACCTTAAAATGTCTTCATCTATTTCATGTAAATTTGAATGTTGATTTACTAATGAATGACTCAAATGTGTAGATTATCAAAGTGCTTTAGTTGCATTTTGTTACAATTTATAAGTGCACTGCAAATTTGTAGGATATTTATGTTTGCCGATAAATCCCTAAGATTGATATAAATATCCCTAAGCTGCCTCTTAAAATTCCGAAAAAATAATGAAGATGCAATACAATTAAAATATCCTATCTTTTTTACAGTTTAAAAATCAAAATCAAAAATTTAATTTTTGCAATGCAAAGTAACACTTTTCAGATAATTATATGAAACATTTTAGTGTTATTAAGTTATTCATATTTATGAAAGCTACTCTTCTTATCCATCAATAGCTATATTTGAATATTTTGTTTCAGACTCAGCATTCCACATGAGTCGGATGCATGATGCAATCCGTTCTTCTTTTGTTGTTCCTGATAATAATAGTTCCGAATGTGTTTACTAGCTCTGTCATCAGAATCAACAATAATACTATCGTTCAAAATAGTAAGTGTCCATTTTTTTCCATATTACTGTTTTTTAATGATTAAAATAATTCAAGTTAATCCATCGTTTACAAAAATGTTAGGATGTCTTTCCAATGGCAAGGAATATCTTGTGTGTGTTTTTTTTTAATTAATCTAAAATTCACAGTGAGAATTTAAAACTATTTCATACAATCTAATTCAATCAAACTACAATTTTAAATAGAAAATACAAAGAAGAAATTTAAAAACCTAAAAATTTTCTAATTCTCGAAGAGATGACGGTAAAGAGTGATTGATTTATGCTGTGATATTTTCAGAACATTTTATTTATAAATTTACCATCAAAGTTTATTAAAATTACATTTCATGCTATCAGATTTTATAATTCCACATGTAGGCTAATTTCCTGCAACTAGAGTGAATTCTTAAGCAAAAAATTACCAGATTAAGTATTTTTTTCATTTAGTCTCCTCTCAAAATGCTTTGTCTCCATGCTAATATTTCCTCATGTTGATCACCTAGCATTGTTTTGAAAATTAAATTCGTTTCACTAATCATTAAAAACTTTTGAAGTACTTTAAGTGAAAGATTTTCTGATTGAATACAAGGTAAACGTGCAAATAGATACGTAACGAGAAGTTAAATGGACGAACAAGAAAATGTAGTTTAATCTTTTTTCATATAAGCTCAAAATAAAATAAATAAATAAAGTTAGGTGAATTAGAGAGCTCATTATATATTCAAGAAAAAGATCAAATATTAAGTAAGTTAAAATCGAAATATTTTAATTCCATAGCTTTAATTGTATAGCTCTAGGGGCATACGTTAATAAAATATTCTTTTACAAAGGATAATATGCTGTTCCTCAGAGATGACAAATGATGCATAACGCAATGTCATTAGATCTTTTTTTCCTTAAAAATTAATTAACTATTATTTGTATTTGCCTTCATTTTAAAAGATTGAATGTTATACTTCTACAGTATTCTCTCTATTATTTTTATTATTATTATTCATTACAATGGCTATTTTATAAAAAGGTTCATTAATCAAAACTTGTAAGGAAAAAATTAACCAAAAAAGAAAAATTAATTAACATCTTTCTGTTCTAAGCGATTTCATAACAATGAATTAAAACTTTTAACATATTCGACTTTAAATTGAATGTACGGTCCATTAAAGTGCATACAAAAAAGGTGGGAACTTTATTTCATCTAATATTCTCTCTCAGAGATAACAACTGTCTATCCCATGTTTCCTACATACGTTATAGTTGTCTTATTTATCTATTATTCTATGTATGCACATGACTGGAATATGCATAATTCTCTTGAATTGCCTTTTTGCAACCTTCTCTTTTCCCTCTTGCCTTCCATTGAAAAGTTATCTGAGCCACAGCCAATTCTTTGTGCAAAAAAAGTTAGAAACCTCTACTTTCTATTACATTTTATTTGTTTTGATATTATTAAGAACTGACATTTTTAAGTTTAAGCTAATGGACTAATTAAATATTTATTTCACAATGAACTGAATATTTTTCAAATTAATATTCTTATTAAGAAACGCGTGTTAATATTAAATGCGCACAAATATTTTTTATGGAAATTTAGTTTGTCTTCATTTAGGGGTCTCATTAAACAAATTAATTAAAATGAATTTCTGCTTAAATATCTTGGTCAAACAGCAGTTTTTCCCTACAATTGATACGTAAAATTTGAAATATGAAGAAAATTGTTTTGAATAAGTATTTTATTATGACTCTTACTAGAACAGTATAACTGTAGAACACTAAGATAACAGGTAAAAAACCTTTACAAATTTTTTTTTTTAATTTTTGCACATTTAATATTTAATAATACCAAAGTTATTTTGTTCACAATAAAAACTATTGTTATCAATTATAAATTGAGCTCTTACTCACAGAGGTTGAAAATAAATAAATTCTAAGTGTCTCATAAAATATTTAATTAACACTTTAATTATAATATATATATAGAGAGAGAGAGAGAGAGTCAATTATTTTTTACTACAGAGACAAAAATCATTAGAAAACCAAAGATAGATGAAACAATTAAAAACAAATATTGGAATTTAAAACAAATACTAGTATTTAAAAAAGATATTAGAATTTAAAAAAATGGATGCTGCAGTATAAAAAAACATTGCTGACTTAGGACACAGCTCTATACATAAAATAATTTACATAAAAGTGGGCTTTAACAAGTTTTCTAGTAAGCCAACCTTCCCCCTTTCTGTTTATAATACTGAGTGAAATCCTATTGAAAACAATTGACAGAATTTCTAAATCCATTATAAGAAAAAGGTAACTTACCTAAAATTGCATTCAAAAATGCATAGCCCGTGCTGAATCTATATATAATGAACAAGGTACTGCCAGATTCTGGACTCAAATACAAATTCAAAGTATATTACTGGCTGAATTGTAGCACTTAACAAAAAGTACTATAAAATTAATAGTACTAAAATAATTATATAGTACACGTACAAAGATGAATACTACATTATTTGATAGACTCTAAGAATATATTTGTATTTGTCTTTTAAATATTACTATGGATAAAATAATACTAAAGAAATGAGTCATTTCAACAGTCGTTTAAATATTTAGGTAACTATAAGTATATCT